CCCAGTTGCCTTTGAGTGTGATGTTATTTTATGGTGTGGTACATATTTCAAGCAAGTCTCCCTGCAATGTCAGAGTCTTGCCAAATGGACTGTTAGCTGCATAAGTCTGCTGTAGACCATGGAGGAGATAGTGCAAGATTCCAGGTGTCGAAAGGCCAACTATCCTCCTTTCCTAACCCCTTGTGATAGGTAGCACTGATGGTGGACAAAGGAGCCTTTAGCTGCATCCCTCAATAGGAATGGAACCCCTTCATTAGTATACATCCTTTTGCAGTTGTACGTTTGCATAGAATATTCTTGTAGAGAGCACTGACTACAATATGTCTTTGGTAGTTCAGCACCTCTGAGGTTCCTTGGTCACAGAAATTATGCAATGAGCGCCAGTACTCACTAAAAATACTACTATCCAGTGAAATGGGGGATTAAGAGAAGAAAAATGCACTTGGAAGAAGTAAAGCAAAGAACAGAAAGAAGGAAAAACATGAGGCTTTGCATGGGAAGGGAAGGAGCACGCCAGCAAAGTTATGACCCTACCAATTTTTCACTCTTTGCTTAGTAGCTGAGGGCAGAAATGTTCTCCAGATGCAAGGAATCACTAGGTTGTTCCTTGACATCTCAGCATTTTTCTTTCCTGGGAGGGAGGCTCATTAGACAAGGGATAGGTTCTTCGGTTATCAATCTGATTTCCCTAGTTTGTTTATACTATGTCTTTCATAGCTTATTCTGGAGAGAGGTTGCAGCCCTCATACTCTGAAGAAATATAGTTGGTGCCATAGGATTGCACCAGTCTCAGGAAACACATCAAGAGGTGTAGATCTGTTACCTTAGAGCTTGCAGTTAAATACTGGACTCTGCAAGTTTCCAGCACGTGTGTGCATGTATGCATGCTGTTTGCTCTGCTTTCTTAGCTCCTTTACAGGTGTGTGAATACTGACTGCTTGTGACCTTGGAAAGTCAAGCCTCCAGGCAGTAACAAACAGTACCGAAAATGAAAAAGAGGAAGGAAATGATGATCTGATTGTCTGACAGCAGCACATCCCCTTTGGGTTTGTGTGCAGCTGAGATGACCTGTGCATGCGGCTGGATAGAAATGTGTTTGTGTTTGATGTGCATGTAGCTATATTAAATGTGCATGTATGTGCACATTTAATGTACCTATAACAAATTCATGTTGTACATATTATACATATTTAAGTAAATAGATGATTTTAAGAAGACAACAGTAGTTCAAAAATAAGCTAGTAGTGAAATATTTCTGATCTGGGTGCAGTGATTACAGCTCTCCCTGGCTGCTCACCAGCTCCTTGTAAATGCTGTTCTAAAGTGTTACTGCAGTCACACTGAGCCTGCATGAAGTGGGAGGCTTTTCCATGCCCTCTGAGCAGGAAAAGGGAGAGATTTGAAGCCTCTGATCCGAGGAAAATACTTCAAGTTAATTTTCTGTGTAAGGAGTCAGCTGCTAAGAATTTAAATACTGCAGATAAACCCCACTGAAGATGAGAAAACAGAAGATGGTTGAACTGCACAAGTGCCCTTCATTTCTACTTCACTAAATGAATTACTCCTGCTTATTTTTTTGTTGTTGTTGTTAAATAAAGCCATTAAAAGATACAAAGAGATTTGTGACGTTAGACATCCTTGACCAAAGTTCAGTGTCTCAGATTCTCCAACTGAGGAGTGGAAAATGTGAATTTAGTAGAAATCCTTTTTGCTTTGGCTGTGTCTGTATTCCTACCAGAAACCTTAAGTCTCCAAATCCAGCATTAACACCATGACTGCAGTGATACAGAGCTCAGCAAATGCTCTCTGGAAAGTAGCCTGGGCAGTCAGCTTCCATCGAGCTGCCATGGCCACAGCCAGCTTGCTGGTGGTACCCAGAACAACTGGGTTAAAGCTTGCTCTGGTGACTCAGTGAGAGCTGTGGTCTTCACTCGCAAGTCCATCTATTCTCACCCAAGCGGGTCTCCTACCAATTGACTTTTCCCAAAGAAATACTGTCAACTGCCTTATACTGGAAATTTTATACCTTTGAATATTTAGTAAGAAGGGATGATTTCTGAATGCTTCAGGCTGAAGCTGGGTGATCTCCTCAGTAATGGGCCATTGGACTTGTTTTGTATTTGACAGTCTTATAATATAAAGACATTCCATCTTTTTGATGTGTACCCAGGTTTGTCTCTGTAAATATAAATATGCCTGAATACTCCTGCATGAGGACTCCTTCCTTTGTAAGCATTAAAGGTCAGTTGTAAATGTTCTGCAGGAGTCATGCGGCATTGTGGGCCACTCCAGCATGAACAGCTTGATCTGTGTTCAGCATGAGCAGCTTGGTCTCTGTTTAAAAAGTGACAATTGAAGCTTTAGTGGAAGCTTCATTCCTTGGCATCTTTGGGTGAAAGAAACTGCTCAAAGTTTCCTCATTTGTTTCACATTTCACCAGAAGTGTTCTTTTATAGACCTTGTCCATTCCTAGTTATTCCGGGTAAAAGGCATTCCATATCTCTTCCAATTTACCTACCACCCTAAAGGAGAATCCCACTCCTGTTTTACCTTTTATTTAATGTTATTTATTTGTTTTCTTCTTTGACTGGGTGTTTTGAGATTTATAAAAGCATAGGGCCCTGGAGCAGGCTAGCGCCTCTTAGAGACTCACCTCTAAATTTTCACAGACCCATTCCAGATACCAGTAAACTGCAATCTTTTCTTCCGTGGATATTTGCAGGCATTAATGAACTAAGTCTCAAGTCATTCCCATATGCTTTAGACATCTTATCCCTTGAGTAGCTAGGCATCTGAGCTACTGATGGGTTTAAGTAAAACAGTCGGATGTGGTTTGCTATCACTGCCATGTGTCTTGTCTGCAGAGCTCCATATCTCTTAACCTCTTTTCAGATGGAAAAAGATACTTTGTTCAGCAGCCAAAGGGAAATGTAAGCATCCTGGTGGAAAACAAGCTGTTTCAAAACCCTGGCTGCAAGCTACCCACACATCACTGTTGTCAGCCAGGCTGCACATGCATACTTACAGGGAGTAAAATAGAGAGGACCTTCTGTTCCTATTCTGAAAGGTCTCTACCCATTCACCTACACCATAGGATTGTCGTCAGCTGCCATTATTAATTTGTTCTCCTATGTAAGTTTTCAGCAAAAGGAGGGTAAAATGAGTCTAATTGCATCCAGCAGGAGCATTTTCAGTGCAAACGCTAGCCCATATATTACAAAGCATTAATGTGACCCACTTCTAGACTAGCGGTAATTTCTGATTTTTTATTTATTCCTCCATTCCTTTAATGAACCTCTTGGAAGAGAAGCTGAAAGATCAGTGTGGGGAAAATGAAATATAAGAAACAAAGCCCATTTTTATTTTGAAACTGTGCTTCCCTTGTAATAGTTTATTTCAAGAGGAGCCTGGAATAATCCAGTTTAAGCAAAGCAAAGATCTCTGCTCAAGCCAAACTGTGTGTGGGTGTGCTCTTGTCAGAGCTCCCAGAAGAGGAGGGCAGGAAAGGCTGTTAGTCAGACCTCAGATGTTGCAGGAGATGTTGGTTATTCAGTAGCTGGCACTTTTCCTTGGCATACCAGTACAGAGCCACTACTCTGGTGTACTGGGAGAGGGTGCACCCCATGAGGGAAAGTCCTCAGTTCCTGCTCTCTTTTCTGTCATAAAAGAAAGTCCCAAGGATAAGTGGCTGGGAGAGGTGCCCACTGTAAGGACCTAGCAGGGGGGTTGGTTAGAAATAACTCTCTGCTCCTCTGCCTCTTCTTGTAGTTCCACCTTGGGCAATGTTTGTGGCAGGTCCAGGCTGGGGTCTGGTGATGCTGCTTTGTGCCACCTGCGCAGGTTTGTGTTGTAGGGGTGGTCCCAACCTCATATTGTTTGAACTCAGGCCTGAAGCCACAACAGTCTTCAGGCATAGCTCCTGCAGAGGAGCAGTCAGTATGTGTGACAGCCTGTTACGATGTTTGCAGAGAATTACCCACATACTCAGTTTTCTCACAGCAAACAGTCTCTTGATGCTATGGGCATCTCAGAGTTCAGAAAGTCAGGCATAAGGATAAATCTTTGCATTATCTCAGCTTACTTTTAGAATCCGTTTAAATAATGTGAGGTTTTTGACTGTATATTGCCCTTTAAAATTTCTATGGCAACAGCACAGCTATGGATACGTTAAATTAAAGTCAGGCATTCAAGATAGGTGATTATATTCCTTAGAAAAATAATCAAATAAATTGATGGTTAGCTCTTGAAATAGCAGGTGAGACTAACAGAGAAGATAAGGTGCAATTCTGTTTCCACTGATGGATTTGAATGTGTGAGCATCATCTTCCTTTGTTACATATCCGTGGATTTGGTTTTTAATAATTTGGCTTGGAGATAATAAATGATTGTATGTTACTTATAGAAAATGGCATTCTCCCAAGTTTTGCACTGTGAAATCCATATCTCTACTAATTTGCAGCGAACACCAGAAGACTAATGATTAGTTATATACAGGAATTCTTATTAAATTTCATCTGATGATAAATAAATTAGAACTGACCATAGCAGCTTTTAAAATTAACAAAAAATCTGTAGTTAGGAATTTATTTCCTGCATCTATGAGAATTGCTGTAGACAACAAAGAGGGCATGAAAACCATGAAAACTTGGACCCTGTAGAGATACTGATTGCTACGTTCAGGGTACATTTCAGATATTTACCCTCTCTTTCTGCTCTCCAAGGAGGGCCTCCCCGGTCAATTCTTCCCATTGATTTTGAGTCTGCCTGCTGAGAAGCTGAAGATATTGATGCTGCTGGGGAGGGTACCAAGAACAGCAATCTTTTGCAAATACATTTTATGACACTCCACTTCCATATGTTAAAGGGGAATTTTATTAATGGCGGCAGGTCTCTGTTTTTCCCTTTTAAACACATCAGTCAAACCGATAGCGATTTGCAGACTCCTGGGCATTTTCATTTCCTCTGGACCGACCCCTCTGTTGTTTCCTCTCTCCCCACAGACAGTGAGATCATCCCTCCCGACTGCCTGCGGCCCCGCTCCTTCACGGCCATCCGCAGGCCCTCGCTGCGGCGGGACACGGAGGACACGCGCCTCTCGGTCAGCCTGTGCGACCTCAACCTGCAGGAGGAGACCTTCCACGTGACGGCCACCACCTGTCCCATCCCGCAGAACTCCCTCAACTCCCAGCACTCCCATCTCCTCCCTTCCCAGCTGGAGAGCGACCTCCGCTTCCACCACCTCCGGGGACCCCACGTCAAAATCCTCGATGACCAAACCGTGGCCCGTCTGGAGCACGCGCGGGAGGAGAGGACTTTGGTTTTCACCAGCAGACCCCTTCGGATCAATGAAACCATTTTTGTCAAAATCAACAAGTCCAACGCTGTGCGCACAGGGACGCTGTCCTATGGGGTCACATCCTGCGACCCCAGCACCTTGCGCCCCAGCGACCTCCCCTATAACCCTGAGTCCTTGGTTGACCGAAAGGAGTTCTGGGCCATCTGCCAAGTCGTGGTGCCCCTCCAGAGTGGAGACATCCTGGGATTTATGGTGAATTCGGATGGTGAGCTGCACTTGAGTCACAACGGTGCCAGCGTTGGCATGCAGGTCTGCACGGACTGTTCCCAGCCCCTCTGGATGTTCTTCGTTTTACACGGCGCAGTCATGCAAATTCGATTGTTGGGTATGTTGGAACCCCTTTTTCCAAACTTCATGCACAAGGGCAAGGGAAGGGTGGAGGGAATGAATGGCTCTCTCCCTGCTCTAGGATGAGGTACAAATTTTGTTTTATAAAAGGAAAAAAAAACCCAACCATACAAAAGCACACAGGTGTGAATTGCAAGACTCACCTCTTTGCACTTCTCTAGCATCCTTCACTTCATGGTCTCAAAGCTCTTTTCAGTAATGAATTAAGCCCCAGAGACCTCCATTTAAGTACAGATGAGTCACCACTGACCTAGGAGGAGTGAGGAAGGGGAAGGAGAGGTGCTTTGGGCTGAGCTAATGTACAGCATAGCCAGCAGAAAAAATGAGATCTGATGCCCCTTTCTGTGTGTTTGTTAGCTCTCTGGCATGACTGATTCTCAGAAAGAGCAGTCCCTTGATGTCCTCAGACTTGTATGTGAGAGGCAGGCCAGCAAAGCAGAGAAGAAGCCCTTTGCCTCATAATAGCAGCAGTGCACAGAGCATAGCACTGGCCAGCTCAACAAGACAGGGGTTTCCTCATCCTCCAGCCCTGTTTAAGGCAGTGTAGCTCATAGAGATTGATGGAACTCTGAAAAGCTGGCCTCTTTCTCTTGATATTTTAGCTCTAGTTTTAAGCTCTGTTAACTGAAGTGCTTTAAATGCTGAAAGTCATGATTTGAAGGTGCGCAAGGTAAAAGCATTGAGATAGCATTTGCTTAGGATCAAATTCACTTTTTTCTTTGGTGTGTGTATATATTGTACAGAAGTGTAGGATATGTTTGGACATGAATTTGGAGCATATCATGGTTCTGCTGGTGTCAGTGTCAGAAAGTAAATGGTAGATTCTGAGAAGATGCTGTAATTCCTGGTACTCCTCTAACTGGAGATGATTTTAAAATGTTCCTTTCTTGTTTATACTTTTACATTCATGGAACTTTAAATATGCTTACATTCCTTATTACTTAAAAACATCACTATTAAAATGCCCCTTTTACACAACAGGGAGAAAAAGATCAAAACCCAGAACAAAACAAAAAGCCAATCAACACCTTCTTTTTTTTATGATTTATAGACAGTCTTTGAAGAGAAGTTGTGGCAAACATACACATCTATCTGGAGGGTCCAGTTCACCTTGATAACAGCATGAAGTGTCCTATATAATTTGCTTAAAGTTGACCATAGGCCTATGCTGTGAGTGTTTTGTGGCTGTTAAAGGCTCACAGATGACAAATGTAATACTGCAATTTATTTCCAGGCCGCCAATCTCAGTCCGTGATAATTCAGCCTGATTGCATTTTTTGTGGGTACTTTACCATAATCCATGGCTAGCTCTGCTCTCCACCAACATGTCATTGTGCTAATGGTAGGTGAAGTCAAACATGTCCCGGTAAAGTAGGAGATTAAATGCTCTTGTATATGTTAGAAAGAAAACATCCCCAGGTCATTGAACTGCTGGTAAAACTAACTCATTAACCAGTGCTTCCTTTCACATGAGATCACTAATTCTGGCAGTTCTGAGAGTGCATAGCTTGCTTGCAATGGGTCTTGAAAGAGAGCATCAAGGATTTGTCTCACTAGAGAAACAGAATCATGTCCTTATACAGAACTCAACAGAGCATGGACCTGAACACAGGCACTCTGTATCCTGGGCAAACCTCATGTTGTGCATACCCTGTGTGTGTCCTCCCTACCTGTTCACAAGCGCAGCCCAAGCCACTATACTTCCAGTACATGTTTTAAATAAATCTGCATGAAATGAAATCTGCTGAGTTGGAAAACTCCTCGCTACCTGTATTTGTGACCACCTAACAGACTTTTCTGGTCTTGGTCACAGGAAGAGAAGCTAAAAATGGGCTATTGTTCTTAAGAGAGATGTAAGTGAAAACAACCAGACTTGCTGACCTTGCCTCTCTTAAGGAAAGGGTAGAACCCTGCCGAGTGTACAGCTTTATCCACGTCAGCTTGGGCAGCAAGCTGCTTTCTCCCAGTTAAAAGCTATGAAGTTGGAGCTTACCTATACTCTTCAGCAGGTATAAAAATACAAACAGAGATTTTCAGACTTATGTTTCCAGTATACTGACGCTGGGAGCAACACAGTCCCAGTATCAGTACCATATCAGTATGGGGCAACTGCCCAGAGAAGAACACTGACATTGTCCCAACACTGCACATCTCTGCAACTGCAGTAATTATATGGATCAGCAGTATCTCAACAGAAGGCAGAGAAAATAATGAACTTCCATCTCTTGCTTTGGCAATGTTATTAGGGGGGTGATGTGCACTGTTTGCACTGCAGTTGAACAGATTATGGTACTTGCCATAGTATCTGTCATAATAATATTAGAAAACGTAAGAAGAATATGAAGTATTCATCTTTTTAATGACAAGCTCCATCTTCCGAATGGAAACAAGAATAATTTTGTGTGATCTGTCTTTTGTAGTTTGAGCTTTATATCAAGGAGAAGATGTGTTTATAGTCATCTTATTCTAGTTTTAATAGAAAAAGTAAAGTTCCATATCCTTGAAAGAAGCGAGACACAAATAGTGCAAGAGGCATAATTGTACCAAACCTATCTTAAATAGCAGATGTCATTCTATTTCTGGAGGCATACCATTATTAGATTAATCAAAGCAATGTTATGCAGTGTTAAGGCAACATCAGCACTACAGCTGACTATAAAAATGAAATTAAAATTGCTGGGTTTGCTTCTTCTCCAGTTTTTCCTCATTTGAAGGATGGAAAAAGTGGAGAACAGCAATGAAACTCTTGCACCTAGAGAAGCTTTATTTTTGACTCAGGGTATTGATCATTGGATACTAAATTTCATGCCTTGAGATTAGTTATTTGATCCTGACCCAGAGCAGAATCAAGCTCAGGTCTCTCCTGGCTTTTGGCTTTACTGTGAAAGCTGACATTTGCTTAATGCAGTTATTGCACAGCACTGGTTATAGACACAACATTTATTTCCTAACTAAATACCAGGGGAGCCCATCTCTACGAAGGCAAATGGTCGTATAGAACAGTGAAAGAGTGGAGGGCAGCATCGGATTGGTTTGATAGTAAAGAATTCTGATTTCTGTTTCCATCTTATTGATCTGGCATCATATGCTGACTATATTTGCTGCAGGAGAAATAAAAAAACCCAGAAAAGAAAGATGAGGTTGGAAACACTATTTTTCTTTATGTCACCCCAGCAAAGGGAAAGCAAATTAAACCCGACCAACACTGTAGCACCTGGGAGGCCACAGTCATCTGTAGTGGGAGATGGAAGGATGTCACTGTGTTACTAAGAAAAGGTTAAAAGGCAACTTGACCACATGGAGGGAAAATAAATGAAAGAGGAGGGCACTTTAATGTAGCAGAAAATACCAAGCTGCTGGAAAATGAAGGAACACAAATTTCAATTAAACATAAGTGAGGGTAATTAAGTACAGGAGCCAGCTATTGAGGGAGGCAATAGATCTTTTTGTCAGCATTGGAAGCCCTTCTAAATAGTTTCTATGTAAACTAATAGTCTAAATTCAGAAATTCTGTAGGTTATGCACATGAAGACAACCAAATCATTACGCATGTAGAAGTGATCAGTCTTTGAATATCCATTAGGACACCATTAGTTCAGGCTTGGGTTGGGTTTTTCAGGCATCATTCCTGTACAGTTCACAAAACCAGCCTATTAAATTTGATTTACTGCTTTCAGCTTTTGCTGGTGAGCGTTTCAGCTCACTTGTCGTTTTATCAACAGTTCTGAAAGGTTGAAATGAGCCAGTCTGGATGCATCAGTCTGGTTTTGGTGGTGTAATTAATTTATGAAGTTAAATTGATTGACCCCATAAGGCTTTAAAATGTATGACTCATGTCTGGAGGAGCTATCAGAGCAATAAGTTCATATATTTAGTATTTGGGGATCCAAATGGTTGTGGATATTCTTTCATTTTCTTTTGTCTCCTTTATTTTGAGTTTAATTTGTTTGGGGGTTTTCTTTTGGTATGGTTTCCCTTGTGGATTTCATCCTTTCCAGTAATATTGAAGTTTGTTTTGAGTAATGAAATAACATGTTCCATCAACAGTCACACCAATGAAGCTGAGCTGCCAGCTTATGTGTTTCTTTTCTATCCATACACTTCAATAACTTCAGCCTCATCAGAACAGCTGCACAATATTGCAGTTCTCTGGCCAAGAGGCAGCATTAGGCCTGAAAAATAACCCAACCTAAGAGCCAGCAATTCGTGTGGGTAAGTCTGTATTCACTTCCATACCGAATACATACAGACTGTGTGGGCTAAGCTATCCTGCCTCCTTTACCATGGGCATATGCAAAATGCAACTACTTAGTTGCAAAGTATTTAGTAATCAATTGTTGCTGAGGTTTCCATCCTTCCTTCAGACTTCCTTGAAATTGGTCAATGGGCTGAAAACTGGGAGAGAGTTGGGAGGGGAGAAAGAGCTGACCAGGGACTGGCAGACAGAACAACTATAAATCCTTGGTTCCTTGGGATTTCTGACAACAGTTGGCAAAGGACCAAATTAGGAGTTAGTTCAGCTGAGTACTGGGGGACAAAAGGTGCTGGCAAAGGGCTTTTTAAGTCAACAGTGAAATTTGATCTGCAGTGGCCTCAGTGACAGTGTGTACAGGCAAATTGCTGTCGATCCCATTGCAGGCAGGACTCTTGCTGGTGTAAGCCTGTGTGCAGCCCTCTGTGTTGCAATAGGACCCTTATCTTGAGCAACCAGCTGAAGAGAGTTGCAATTTCATGGGTGAACAGAGTAGTGTTTTGGGTGACTCAGAGCAGTGGTTTACCAGGAGAAACCACTTTCCATCATTCTGTGATGTTCATCATATTGCCATTTGGTTTTCATAGAATCCTAGAATCATTGAATTGTTGGGGTTGGAAAGGACCTTAAAATCATCTAGTTCCAATCCCCCTGCCCTTGACTTTAGCTCCATCCCAGGTGAGTCACCAGCTGTTCCTGCATTGTTAGTGATTCACAAGCCATAG